GCGCCACCAGGGAGGGCCTATTAGATATTTTTGAAAGATCTTTTCCTCTTTAAAGATTTTTCTCTTGGCCCTCCCTGGTAGCGCAGTGGGTTAAAGCACAGCACTAAGAAGCTAAAGCCACTTCTGCATGAGTTTGAGCCCTGCTTGCCTGAGAGGAGATCCACATGGCATGGCAGACCTCTCCTGACCCGCCCGCTGCTCCCCTCAGCAGTGTACTTTGATGATCTGCCTGCTCTGCTCCCCACTCTATCTCTGGCGAATCCTCTCACCATCCCTGCACCTCTGGCCTGTACCCCAATTACAAATAAATAAATCTTTAAAAAAAAATTTACCCACCCCAAAACACTAGTAGAATAAACCCTCCCATGGAATACATCATAACAAATATTTGTCTCCAAAATCTCTATCCCTACTATTTGAGAGTTTCAAAATAAGTAAGATTTACTCTTACTTATTATAAGTTTCTATCTTTATACAATTTGTCTTAATGTTCACCACAACTTAATGTCAATTATTTTGATAATATGTTCTCTCTTCCTCTCTAACCTAGTTATTTAAATCATTTACTTCCCTCCTCCATCCATCTAGACTGTGATCCTTTTTACTTGAGGGTAGCTTAGACCTGTTTTTTTTCTTTTCTATGTTTAAGTGCTTTTTCTCTCTAGAGATCTGTCTGCCTGAATTCTTTGTAATCTAAATTCTGCTTAAATATTAATTACTGGATTTCACACAGAAATTAAGTGAAAATTCAAAAATAATTTAAGACTGGAAGACTTTTTTTTCTATTTTGTTTCATGGTTAAGTTAAGGACAAATAATTTTAAAACTGAGGTGTTAAAATAGCTCTGAAAGATGAAACTCTCAAATAGTAGGGATAGAGATTTTAGAGACGAGTATTTGTTATGATGAATTCCATGGGAGGGTTTATTCTACTAGTGTTTTGGGGTGGGTACAGGAAAGGACCCCACCTAATTTAATTCTTGAGTGAATTAAAATTCATTAGTGCACGCCTCAAGTCCTGGATTGTGGACATTTGGACGCCACTATTTTGTCAAACCAGCCATTAAACAAAGGCAAATACTACCATTTTGAGAGTGCAGGAGCCATGTGACTTAATGAATCAAAGTGTGTGATGCAGGCTGAGTCATGTGACCCCACCAACTTTCCTATCTACCCCAGCTTCTCCCAGTCATTTCCAGGACCCCCTCCTTCAACTGTATCTTTTACTTCCCAGTTAGTTCCCCCAAGCTGAAGAAAGTTAGGTTTGTCACAGCATCTATGAACCACTGCAAGCCAGACCTCAGCCTCCCTGTTAGTTCCTGTGGAGAGGGCAGGAGCCAGCATGCTGCAGTCCTGGAGGCATCTGGAGTCCTTGCAGATGCACCCAGGAACAGCCCACTGTGGGGACTACAGCCCTCGTGTATACAGGAAAAATTCTGGGAACACAGGAGGCTTGAAGTCCCACCCATCCCCCTGGGACTTTGCAGTGGAGGGGTTACAGGGCAACCCCTGGGTTGCCTGTCTGTGGGTCCTCACTCGTGTGCTTAAGATTCAGCTGTACTGCAGGCACACACAAAAAGGTCAATGATGGATTTATTTACAAGGGAAAAGAAAAGGAGCAACCCAGGGAAAGAACTAGAGATACAAGTTAACTAATGCGTCCTACCAGTTCTGCTGACCTGGAACCCCAATAGCATGCTGAAAGGCCTGAATGTGGCATTTGATCAGTGGGTTAGGGAGAAACCCCAACCTGCCTGGAGTCAAGCTTAAAAAGCAGTGGTGTCTTTAACACAAGGACACATCCTTAAAAGAGTGAGAACAGCTGGAGGTGCTGCGCCCAGTGCCTGTGTCTGATCAGTGTCATCTGGGAAACTCCCCATGGCCAGGGCTGGTCGCTGCAGCACCCTGAGGTTCTGTTTGTATGGCCTTGTTCACTGTACCAAGTGATTTTGTAGATCCTTTCTCAATCAGGATCATGAACTATTCAGTAGGTGAGCACAGTGCAATGTATTTTTTTTTCTCTTCTGAAAAGGTGCAGATTGGGCTGGGTTTGGGTGACCATACAGAGCTGCTTTGCCCCAGCATGGATTTGATTAGAGATAGCTTTGACGGGCTACGGGAAGGCCACTCCCATCAGAAGCAGGGTGCCATGTGCAGGGAGAAAGCGGACGTGGACATAGGCCTGTGGCTGGGCTGGGGTCCCGTCTGCAACTCAGCGACTCCTCTCGGGTCTTTGAGGACAGCCAGTGAAGCCCATGCCGGAGCCAGTCATGGCTAAGAACTGCTTCTTCCTGCTCCATCCAACTCTTCCCAAGAGGAGGAATTGCCAGTCGTGGACTTGGGATGGCCTTGAAAATCCATCCTCTGTCCTGGTCCTGCTTCTTGCACCCACCACCATCGTAGGCCTCTGGGCTTGGTGGCAGGAGGTCACAGGGCCTGATAGCGTAAGGAAAGGAGGGCTGGAAAGTGAGGAGGGCTAAGCTCCCTCTGGGGGAGAGGAGGAGGCGTGTGTCTGATCCGCTTCCATTTGCACCCGGGCTTTGGGTCTGAGCGTGGAGCAGCCTGGAGCCCTCCCTCTGCTCACACTGTCACATACATGGGCCCCTGGCACGGCTGGGGCTGGGCACTGAGATGCATGCACTCATCGTTGTGTTGAATAAATTGAGGAGCAGCACTTTCTGTGATGGGGAGAGGCTTCATTTGCCTTTACTTGCAAGATCACCTAATCAGAGAACTGAGGCAAGGAGTGGAGAGGTGGCTTTCTGGAAGGTTATGGAAAGCTTGGAATGTGAAATTCTGGGTAATCTAAAAACACCAGTTGGGCTTTCTTAGGCCAGAGTTGCCACCACTGCTCCCAGGAGGTGTGTGGTGGGGTGGGAACGTTAGGACTGGATCCTAGTCCAAGTTGAAGGGATTAATCACAGAAGTTTTCAGGAAGTCGTAACATGGCCTGTCCTCTGATTGAGAGTCAGGGTACAGCCAAGAGCCCACACTGACCTCTTGCTCTTGAGCAGCCTGAGAACTCAGGGGGAGCCCCTGTGGGTTCAGAGCCATAGAAGCCAGTGGGATATACTGCTTCTTGGGTGTCTCTGGCCCTTGACCTCTGATGAGGCAGTTCTGGCTCTAGGAGTTGGGTCTTGTCTTTAGCATGTGACTTCAGGAAGAGACCTTGAACTGAGTTTTTTGTTTTAAGATGAAAGAGACCCACATAATTCTTATTCCTGCTGTACTGATGAACCAGAATCCATTTATCCTGCACGGTAGTCCAGGAAAGGAACCACCATGGGGCCTGAATGTCCCTTCCACATTTCATGTGTTTGAGATATTACCTTTGGGTGTTTAAACCCCCATGTCAGTGGGGCAGATAGGCTTGTAGCTGGACCTTCCAGATTCAGTATAACAAGTTCCACTCCCAGCTCTGGTGCAAGATTCCACAGAGAACAAGAGTTCTGTGTGTCACTGGACTGCTTTCTGGCAGGCTTGTGAGTTCTCCTTGTAATAACAGGACAAGGCGGGAGGAACTGATTTAGCCTCACATGGAAGAGGAGTAACTCAATTGACATTCCGTTGCAATTTAGCAGTCGGTTAATGGCCACTTACTGGAAAATGTTACCAGGCTCTGTGGTGAATGTTGTTAGAAACTGAGCTACTCTGCATATTTCCCCGGAGCCCTTTCTCCTAGCAGACACTCGAGCTGCAGGAAGTGGCACTGTGTTGCAATAACAGCTTCATTGTTCTTTTGGATTATTTGTTTTGTGTTTCAAAACTAAATATGTTGGCACCAGAGACTTGCCAAGAGCTTGGGGATGGCACAGGGGTCACGGGGTTATTTTGCTGGGTGCTCCCTAGGTTGAAGTTGCCCAGGGATCCCCATGACCCAGTGTCCAGCGAGTGAGGTTCACATACAATTAATTCGAGTCACCTGAACGGAATGTCACTCTATATCCTTGCCTTTACCCATGAAATTATTTCAAATAGCTGGTCACTTCTTGGGTTTTGTGTAATCACATGCTTTGCAAAACATTGGCCAGGCCGTTGAGGTAAGAATGCGATGCTGTGAGTCCTAACTTGGGTAGACTCCTGACTTTGCCATTTACTAGGTGTGTGACCTTGGGCAATTCACTTAACCACTCTGAGCCCCAGGAGTCTTGTTAACAAATGGCCACAAGCGTTCCCAGGGAGTAGCAATCAGCGAGATGGTGTGAGTGGAGGCCGCTGGTAAAGTACCTGGAACATGCTAACCCCATTCATTGCCAAGTTAAACCGGCAGCAACAGAATGCCCCTTTGTTGGGTCAGAGAGTTGGTGGGGGACGATTACGGGGAGAGACTTTCCTCCTCTCCTTCACTCAAGGAACACAGGTGTCGATGCGGGGTGTCGCCACACACCTTGGTGATCTTGTATTGGAGTGCCGGGGAGAGGGCCCAGGGTACCCCCCCTTCCGGCAGCTCCCAGGTTCTGACTCCTGCATCTGCTTGGATGGTAGAAAGCTGATCGCCTGCCTCCGTAGAGTGCCTTTTTGGAAGGCTTGGTCTCGTTCCAGGGGAATCCACAGTGCGATGGCCACATCACTTCATTTCTGGGTCATGTTTTCAACTCCTCCTTCCTACTAAGGCTCTCTCCGTCCTCTCTGAAGTAAATGAAATAATTGTCACCAGCTTCCCACTTAATTGCCGTGGCTGCTGCGCCGAGACTCCCCGCATGCTCGCAGGAAGTCCACTGGCGCTCTTGGCAGCCTGCTGACCCCACGGCACCAGAGCCCAGATTTTTGAGGTCTGGTGGATTCCTGAGACTTTCCTTCTGCGCCCACGTCTGGACGGCGTCCCCAGCCCGCAGTAGCACCCGGGAGCGGCCTGTCCTCTGCCGGCTCCACACGACTGGCACACACTGACGAGGTTGTGGTTTGCTTCTCTTTCCTGCCTCCCCTCCAGAGTACAAGAAGAAGTATGGAGAGGAACACGGCTCCTGCCAGGCTGGGATAGCGGGCTTCTTCACTGAGGTGGGTGTCGGCTGCTAGGCAGCTCTGCTTTCTTATTGGCGTTATTTCCTCGCTGGCATGAGACGTTGAGATGCCTCTTCCAGGGCCCCACTTACTTGAGTTGTGAGTAAGTAGATCCTCAGTCTCCCATCCAGGGAAGGCCCTTGAAACTGGGGAGTTGGAGGGGGAGAGCCAGCTGGTCAGAGGCCACTGAGTACAGTGGGTTGGCTCACTGGGAGCTGGGGACACACCTATTAGATAATTTGTATAGGGGCCACTTGGTTGAGACCCATGGAAGGAATTGACGAGAGGGGTGTCTGTGGGTCAGTGTGTAGTCGCTGGTCTCAGCACTAGCAGCCATGAAGACACGGGCAGCACTGTCCCCTCTCCTAGGAAACCCCTTGGCCTCAGGCACAACTCCAAGCATTCATTCACCCTGTCCCTGACTTCTGAAGGCCCCCAGACTTCTTTGCCTGTACGGGACCATGGACCTAGGCTGGTGATACCTTTTTAGGAACTGTTTTCTCACATGATTCTTACCCATGTAAGTTTACTCTTCCCAGCAACACTTCACTTTTTCAGTATTATTTATTTATTTATTTATTTGTTTATTTGTGCATACAGAACTGGGGTACAGGCCAGAGGCTCAGGGGCGGCGAGAGGCTTCACCAGAGACAGAGTGGGGAACAGAACAGGCAGATCGACGAAGTACACTGCTGAGGGGAGCAGCGGGCGGGTCAGGAGAGGTCTGTCGCGCCATGTGGATCTCCTCCGGGGCAGGCGGGGATCAAACTCATGCGGAAGCGGCTTTAGATTCTCAGTGCTGTGCTTTAACCCGGTGTGCCACCAGGGAGGGCCCCACACTTTTTCAGTATTTTTATGCCTGCCTGCCAGGTGCCGCTGTCATCCCTGTCGCTGGCCAGATTCTCCCAAAGTGCTTGTCACTTGACTTGCAGTGCCTCGACTGTCCTGTTGCTTTGAACACAAAAGCCTGTCCCAGGGAGTGTTAATTGCCACCGCCACCCTGAGAGGAGAGCCATGTCCTCACCTGGAGACACCCTGGCCTTGTCTTAAGCTCCTCACAGCCATCCTTTTATTTATTTCTTTAATAAAATACACAGTAAAATACACATAACGTCACTTTCACCATGCTAACTGTTTTAAAGCACAGTCAACGACTCGGTGGCAATTCAGGCATGACAGTGTGGGGCCACCATCGCCTCTGTCTAGTTCAGAGTGTTCTAGCACCTGACTCTGCACCCACCCTCAGCTTCACTTGCATTTTCTGCACCCAGCCTGAGGTGTCTTTCAGGCTCCAACCACACATCCTGTGGTGGGTGAAACATCAGCTCCACCTCTGGCCTGGGCCTGACCCTGTGGTATCAGAGCTCCACTCACCCCGGGACAGCAGGCGGCTGCAGGAGGGGACACAACTGAGGGGAGGAGAGACCAGTGGCACCCACAGGTTGGTGGGCAGCAGTGCCACCTTAATCCCCAGCTCTATTTCAATTAAAAAAGAAAATGGACCATTGGCAGTATACAGTGTCTTATCCAGAAAGCAAAATGGAAAAGATGCACAAGTCAGAAAAAGCAAAATGGAAAAGTCAGAAGCTTTATCACACGTCACTGTCAAACCAGTACACAGGAGGTGCTTTTCTCCCAGCCCGCCTGCCCCAGGAAATATAGAATTTGCTGCCATTTTCTCCATTGTCTCTGGGAATGGTACCACCAGTTGTTCTAGCTGACTCAAAGTGGAAATGATTCTTCCATTATTCTCTACTTTGAGTAGAGTATTCTCTACCAGCAAGTTCTACCCCAGGCCCTGAGGGCCAATCCTAGAGACCTGAACTTCTTTTTAGCTTCACTCCCACCCTACAAATGCAAGGTGCAGTTGCCTTGCTCCTGGCCCACTGCAGCATGCTCTTGCATCCTGCTTTCTAGTCTGGGGGCCTTGGGAAGTCAGGGACGGGGTGAATGAATGCTTGGCGTTGTGCCTGAGGCCAAGGGGCTTCCTAGGAGAGGGGGACAGTGCTGGCCGAGTCTTCACTGCTGCCAGTGCTGAGACCAGTGACCACACACTGACCCACACCTCTCATCAGTTCCTTCCATGGGTCTCAGCCAAGCTGCCCTTATACAAATGATCTAAATAGGTGTGTCCCCAGCACCCAATGAGCCAACCCACTATGCTCAGTGGTCTCTGACAAAAACAGTAATTCAGAAGGACACCTGCATCCTGATGTTTATTGCTGCTCTATTTACAATAGGGAAGATGTGGAAGCAACCCAAAGGCCCAGAATTAGATGACTAATCAAGAAGATGTGGCATATATACACAATGGAATGTTATTCAGCAATTAAAAAAGATAAACTCATGCCATTTGTGGCAACATAGATGGAGCTGGAAAAGATCATGCTTAGTGAAATAAGCCAGAAAGATAAGTACCTATGGTTTCACTTACAGCAGGAGTGTAAGGGATCAGGAAACACACACACACAGTAATCGTAAAAAAGAACATCAACTAACAACTATAAACCAGAGACATTCTATGAGGGAGGAGAGGGGAACAGGATAAAAATAGGGGTGGCAAGAGCACACGGGACTATGGTGATGGCACATGGGGAAGTGGTGGTGGGAAGTCCACGGGGATTACAACCAAGATGGAAAAAATGCACAAAATGAAGAAAATGAAGAATAATATAAAAACGGTATATATATATATATACACACACATATTTTAAAAACCTCCCTGTATCTCTACACATACAGCTGATGTGAGATGAGTCTGCTAGGTAGTTCTTCCCATCCCCATTGAATGGCACTGCCAACCTCCACATACCAGGCTCACCCCCTCCATCTCCGTAAGCATTTAGGTTGTGTGAGTTCAATGACTGTCATCTCCAATTTACTCCAGTGCTTCAGTGAGCTTCAGGGAACCTCTGTAAGCGTGTGAGCAGGTGACCATGCCATGAACAGTGTGCTCTCAGAGGCTACTGGGGTGGGCCAGGAGTTTAGAAGTCGGAGGATCTGGTTGGAGGTCAGGGGAGAGGCTGTGATGTGGTCCAGCCACAAAGCAACAGGGCAGGCTGGGGTGATGCTTTAGGAATAAAATGATTGTGGGGGTCAGAACACTAAGCCATATCAGTGAGTGGGGTGGCTGTTGGATTTTGGGGTCAAGAAGGGAGGTTTTGAGCAAGGGTTGTGGAGAATTAGAGTGGCTGGTAGAAAGGGGTTCCCCAAGGCAAGGGGCAAGCTGCTCGGTCTGCTATAGAAATGCCAGTGTGAGGTGGTGGGTAGGAGAGTCTGGAGGAGAGTGTTTTCAGGAGGCGTTTTTAGAGACTGGAACCCAGCCTGAGTTAGAAACTTGGATTTGGCCACTGTTGGCAGGTCTCTGAGGGGACTGGGCTTGCTAAGCCTAGGCCTTCTTGGTGGGAGGAGAAAGATTATCAACGTGGTGAAAACTCTGAGGTGTTGCCAAGGGAGTGAAGGGGACCCCGGGAGGGCTGACATTAAGGTCTTGCCAGCTGGAAGAGTAGGGATGGGGGGCAGGAGGAGGGGGTTGGGTTGGATGGACTCGGCGGAAGGAACAGGAAGGACAGGGCTATGGAGGGGAGACCCAGGCAAGGGTGCAGGCTCATGACGGCCAGATGGGCCACTACACTTGCTGAAACTTAACGCTCTGGGGACCAGCACCCGAGGCAACTGTGGGATCCCGGCAAGTTGGCAGCCTGAGGGAGGGCTCTGTCTTTGACCTGACCCACTGTCTCCTGGACACTCTGGACTTTGGCCTCTGCTTCAGTTCCTGGCTTTGGCCTCCCTAAGCAGAAGGGCTTGGAACTCACAGCCTCCCTTATTTCTGGAGCTTCAGCTTTTGGAGGCTGCCGGAAATATGGTTGAAAAGGTCAGGCAGCATGGCTCCCTCCCCTGCTCCCCTGACTCCTGTCGGCCTCATTGTTGCTTGGGCCTGCCTCTGCTGTGGCTGGGCTGTCCCCGCACAGGGCAGCTTCGCCAGCTGGACAGATGGCATCTGGCATCTTCTAGACGTGGCCACACTGCCATGAAGTATTCAGCCCCAAATGTCTGCTTGACCTGATGCGTGGTGATCCAGGAATTGTCAACACTGTTTGATTTTAGATACCACTCGAGTTTTAGCCCATCACTGGGGACACAGGAGAATTTCCTGGGCATTTTGTTTTTGTAGCCTGGGATAACAGGTGATGGATCCTTCTTGGCAGCAAGAGAAGAAAGGCATTTGTCCAGCTTCCATCACTGCAGTACATGATGGAAGCTGGGGAGGGCCGGGGGGTGGGGGTGTCTTCTGTTGCAGACCCTGAGACTCTTCTGCCCTCTGCTTATGCCAGCTTGCTGTGTGCATACTCGCGTGAATAGCCTGTTATCTCGGGAGAGGCTGCTAATAAATGCTCCTTGGGGACAGCCCCACACTGCTTACTGATGGATTCCACACACATGGTTCAGGCAGATGGTGGCCGCTGGTGTCCAGAGACACATTTATGTGCATGACATTTGCATTGGCTGTTCTGGGTGGCAGGGAGCTGAGTGCGGATAACATCTCCCTGTGCTTGTGAACAGTGCCAGCAGACAGGCAAAGGGTGAATGGAAAACGCCAAATATGAGGGAGTTCCAGGAAGACACAGCCTCCCTGCTCTTTCCCTCATCCCTAGGCCCTCAGACTTGGCCTCAGTTTTTCTAGTGGGAACAGAAGGGAGAGGGGAGGTGAGCCCGAGGCTGGCAGGGCTTTGAAGGATTGCGGTGACCATGTCTTACCCTCTTGCTGTAATGTTTGAGAGGAGAGGCAGGGACTTATCAGGCCCTACCAGCCCCTGAGCATCAGAAAGCAGAGTGTCAGCCTGGGACCGGAAAGGCCTTGCAGGCCTGTGGGATGCTCCGAGCAGGTGGAGGAAGCTCTGTAGGTGTGTGTGGGTGGCACTGAGGCCGCCCCTCGCTCACTGTGCTCACCTCTGCCCTTTGCATTTGGACTCTGATCACACATTTTTTTGTGAACTCAAGGTCACGGAAAGTGTCTCTCCTCCGATGACCTATACATTTGTCTTTCTTACCTCTTCTAGAGCTAGCACACAGTCTCTCCCGCAGGACAGATGTGTGTGCAGGTGAGTGAATGAAGTGTGTGTCCATTGCTGCACTTTCCCAGTGTGAGTCTTGAGTGCAGAAAGTGATAGCAGGAGCTACTGCTGGGGAGTCAGCTGCTTCCTTTGTGGTGAACAGGATCTTAGAAACTAGGTGTCCATCAACGGTTAGTCTTGGTCCACAGCTTCCTGCGTTATGAAAAGCAAACCATTCTGGCAGAAATCTGGGGGTTTCTCTTTGTCTTGCTGAGACCCTACTGCTTGCTGAGGTTCTCTCCCAGACTGAGCGCAGAGCGTGGGTGGTCTGAGGCACCATCCTGACGCTGTCACACCTGGCTCTCCCGCTGCGTGCTCTCGTCTCCTTTCTGATGTTCTCTTTCGATGCTTTGGGCCTTTCAGACATTGGTTCCCTAGGAATTCAGTGTGACTTTGTGAATTGTCTTCAGAAACTCAGTCTTTGTGGCAGGGTCTAGCCTTCCTGACTTGTAGGGAACCAGTAGCTTCTGAAGTGTTGAGGCCAGCTCTGCAGGAAGGGGCCAGTCTGGGCACCGCTTCCGCAGTATGGCGGTGTGTTGCAGCATCAACAGGTGGGCACAGGTACACTGTGCCCATCACCTATATGAGTCCAGGTGAGTTTTGGAGTTTTGTGTACACCTGAGGGATTGCCTCTAGAAATTGTCTTCATTTTAACCTATTTGGAAAAAACTGCTCCCTAAAATATTTTGTACATCTCCATGTTCACTGGCCCAGGGGATGTCATCCTCAGGGACTTCATTTGTTGTGTCTTGTGTAAGTTTTCACGCATAGTAGGAAATGCTTCATAAATAAGAAGTGAAAATGAAGGAGTTTGTTAGAAATTTAAAAAATGCTTTTTGCAGTGTAGGTCCTTAGAAAAGAAGGGGTCCCCTGTTGGCGGGGGAGGGGGGCAGGAGGAGAGCTGGGAGGCTTGGCCTGGTCATCTGTGGCTGCAGCTCACCGCTTCACAGCGTGTGCTCCATTTTATGCTTAAACGGCTTCATCCTAGGAATTTGTTTTGCTTTTCCTGGTGTGACTTCTTAAGAAGCTCAAAGAAAATATATTTTAGGGGTAAATGAAAATTCCCATAATCCTAGCAGCCAGTGGAAAAAACCATCCATGTTCTGCAGCTTATCTTTCTAATCTTCTGTCTGTATATAATTGTTCCTTTTATAAACATGATCATATCATACATGCTCTTGTTGGCACTTTGTGACTATCTCAGTGCCCGTCGGTCTTCTCTTGAATTTTTAGTGCTACAGAATTCTGTTGAGTGGATGGATCATGACTTAGAGGTAGATGATGTTAGGAGTTCAGGGCATTCTTAACTTGTTCAGTGTTAATGTGGCGCCTTGTGGGTAAAACTGTAATTAACCCTACTGACTTCCTTGGGTAACTGAGTCATGTTTGAGCACTAGAATTATCACTCTTGGTCACTTGATGGTTTGGTGGCACAAACATACTCTTGGGCCTGTTGAGGACACAGGACCAGTTATCCCTAATCTGGACACGGCGTGTCTTTTGTGTTGTTTCCGTTTTTAATTCTAGTACTTTCTCATGCTGTCTTTCTTCTCTTTCTGGTCTGTGTGATTCCCACAGTGGGCATCTCTGATTTCTCTTGCTGTTTTTCTTTTGAGTTTGTAGTGGGTCACTGTGGCCAGAAAACCAAGCTTTAGAGCTATCCCTAAGGAGAGAGCCTGGAGTAAGGACTTCAGGGGCTTCCTGCCAGTGGTTCAGCTTGGCACTATTGTGTTAAAGAACATTTTGGTGACTGTTTTTCTCTCAGCATGGCTCAGATGGAGTTGCTGGATGAGGGACTGGAGGTCAGGCTGGTGAGGTGGTGGTGTCTTTTCATGACCACCAATCCCTGGAATTGTCTGACTTAAGATCATGTCAAATATTTGTTATTTCTTTGCTTGATCCTGGTGTACAGGTGAGGAAATTGGTTCAGCTTCAGCAGTGATAGGGTAGGGAGGTGGTGTGTGTTCCATTCTGCCACCTTGTTCTGTGTCTTTAGTCCTGGGAAGCTGGTGAAGATTTTTTTTTTTTGATCCACTGATGACAGGTCAGGTAGCTTGAGTTTAATTTTAAGTTCTTGATTGTAACTGTGGTTTTCAACCCACTGCCCACCCCCTCTTTAGCTTCCTTCCCTGTTTACCTTTGGTTTACCTTTGGTTTCTCTTTGGTAGGAGCTGGTGGTGATGGGTGCTCCAGGGTCATTTTATTGGGCTGGGACCATGAAAGTGCTGAACCTTACAGACAACACCTATTTCAAATTGAATGACGACACGATCATGAACAAGCGGTACACTTACCTGGGTGAGTAGCTCAGGGAGGTGGCAGGTAAGAAAGGGGACATGGGGGTCACTACAGTCATGCTTGTGAAGTACTTACTGCATTACTGGTAAAAGACAAGTTTGCTGGCCTTTATATCTGTTAATTGACTATGGTTTTTTTTAAAGATTTATTTATTTGTGCATACAGAACTGGGGTACAGGCCAGAGGCTCAGGGGCGGCGAGAGGCTTCACCAGAGACAGAGTGGGGAGCAGAACAGGCAGATCGACGAAGTACACTGCTGAGGGGAGCAGCGGGCGGGTCAGGAGAGGTCTGCCACACCATGTGGTCACCTCCGGGGCAGGCGGGGATCGAACTCATGCGGAAATGGCTTTAGCTTCTTAGTGAAGTGCTTTAACCCGCTGCGCCACCAGGGAGGGCCTTGACTATGCTTTTAACCATGGCTCTTCCATATTGAGGCAGAGAGACCAACGGAGGGGACAGAATTAAAACCATGAGATTTAATTAAAAAGCTCACGGTTGAGCCTCCAGGGACGCAAACATTTTATTTTCTCATTTTAGCAATTACTCAAATTCAGATGATCAGGTACACAATGATTGCAACAGAGTCCTGATTTTCCGTGCTATTCCTTTGCATGGAGGTCTCGGCTTCCTGGGCCCCAGACTGGTTGCCACTAGAAATAAGAACCAGAGATTATTGGTAAGGAGGGCAGCAAAGTGCTGAAGTTTAATTACAGACTCACAAAAAATTTCTTTTATTTATCAACCCTTTTAATCTTCTAGAAAGAAGATAGACACAAGTCTAGTTCTCAGCCACCAGGTCAGGTCATGCCTATGTAAGAACAGAGATAGGCTGTCTGTGCTTGTGTACATGCTAATTTTACATGACTTTTTTTCTTTAATTCATGCCCTAAATGCCATAATTCTGGACTAAAAAAGTGAAGCTAATTTTCAGAAGGCCTAATAATGAAAAAACAGTGCTCTTGACCTATAATGAGAAAACAGTGCTCTTTCCCACTCATCACCCACAACTTAAATCTAGGGGCGGCTCTGCCCTCCTTTTTGCATAGAGATTTTCTTGTGAGATGACAGTAGAGCCACTTGCCTCTTTCCTTCTAACTGCAGGGTTTTTGTCTTGTTTTGTTTTGCCCAGCAGCTCTACCATAATACTTGTACTCACAGTCTTTGGAGTGTTTGCGTTCTGCATGCTCTTAGACCCTTAATGCTGTCATTGACTGAGTGCTTGTTCTTTGCCAGATTCTACAATTCAATTCTTTTAATTCCTGAAACAACCTTTTGAGCTAGCTGTTATCATTACCCACATTTTACAGGTAAGGAATCTTTGGTACAAAGAAGTCATAACACTTCCCAAAGTCACATGATTCATAAATAGCAAAGTGAGAGTTTTATACCTGTTGTTCTAAGCTGAGTCTGGTTGCTGAACTTCCCCTCCCTGAACTGTGGCCACAGCACTGACCACTGATACTGACCCCTCACTAGGCTGTAAATACCTTGGAAGAGGGAATTTAAGTCAAATTTATAGGGGACTTGGTCTAAAAGCCTGATGCATAGTGGGAATTCAGCCTTGTTTATTTGATTTGAGAATGAAGAGAAGGCAGAAGAGAACCTGTTTGAAGAAGCAACTTTAGGGTCTGGGAGAGGTCCTTTGGACCTCAGGACCTGAGGCTCCTTGCTGTGTTTCCAAAACAGAGGCCCTTATCTGCTGCAGGGCTTGCCAAGGTTATGTGACCCATTGACATCACTCAATACTCTCAGCCTCCAGTCTGAGCCTGTGTCCAGCCACTTGGCAGATAAGAATTGATTGTGATATGCTGTCATCACAAAACCCAAACATTGTCTGATCACAGCATTAGGGCTTGAGGGTGATGACAACGTTTGGGGAATATATGGTAGCTGGTGCAGGGTTTTTGCTGGCTAGATGAGAACTTCAGCTTGCTAGGAAGACTCAAAGAAAGAATACGTTTAGACTAAGCTTAGACTTTTTTTTTTGTTTGTTTGTTTGTTCTGATACTTCTTTTGATTCCAGATTCTTTGCCCATCCATCCGTCCATCCATCCTCATCTTCTTCTTGCCCTCCCTGAGGAAGGGAATGTGACATAATGGTTTCTTGCAGTGGCTTTGGCGATACTTTGGTCTATGGGTGGTGATTGTATGGTCATGTACACATGCACAGACTTAAGTTTTACACTTCAGATGGATGTACTTTATGAAAGCATAGTTCAAAATGTGAACAGTTGCAGAGTATTTGGTATGATGCCTCCTCCAAAAAGGACACTCAGAAAGCACTCTCTTGTGCCCTGATGTCCTTGTGAGGCATGCCCGCTTGTGAGCTAAACCATCTCACAGTAAGACTGAATGCTGCCATTTGTTGCCTGGTAATTTCTCTTTCAAGAATCCCTGGATCATAATCATTGAAGGAAAGGATGACTGATAAACCACCTTCTCTGCTGGACCTTTTCTTCCCTGTGCTGCTTTTTCAACTCTGCCCTTGGTTTCTGTCCCCTCTTGCAGGCTATGCAGTTACCGCCGGCCACTTCTCTCACCCATCCTCCACTGACGTGGTGGGAGGCGCCCCGCAGGATGACAATATTGGAAAGGTGAGGAGAGAGTCTGTGGTGCACGAGGGGGCAAGTGGAGGGGAAGAAGCTGCCCCAGGATAGAGGTTTGTCCCCTTAGATTGCTGAAAGACTCGCAGGTAAGTGATGAAATGATGAGGGACCTCCTGTCTGTCGCCTTCCATCACTTTTGACAGTTTCTCTTGAAAGCTCAATCAGCGTGACTGTAACTCTCAGACCTCTTCATTTTCTGCACATTCTCATTCAAGAGTGTTTTTCACAGCTGACTGCGAGGTAACTTAAGAATGTGTTCCGTGTGACTGTGAAATTGTCCAGTTTCAAGTCCTCTGCACTCCCAAACCCTTTGCAATATTGACTTGGATTTAATGGAGCCAGGTCTAGTCTGAGTTATTTTTGTGATTTGATTTATTTGCCCTTGGAACCCAAACTGGTTTAGCCCAGAGACTGAACTGGCACTGTGTGATGCACTTTCTCTGAAGTATCTGCCCAGATTGCAGTAAAGATCTAAGGCTGCCCGAGTCCCTCTGCGAATTACGACCACAGTACTTAGTGCTGTGCTTGTTGGACTGTTAGCTCCAAAGGGCAGGAGTTCCAGATGAAGGCCAAATGCAGGAATCTGCATTTCTGACAAGCTCAGCTTTCTGGTAAGAAAGGCTGAGCACAGCAATACTCTTTGGATCTCACACCTAGGGGTGAACCTCCGTGTGGAACCCAGTCATTCTCCAGGTTCTCGGAGGCTGGGATCTGGAGTCTGGAAAGGATGAGATGGCTGGGACTACTGTTATTAGAGATTTCTGATAACTTCTGATGTTGGCGTGATCAGTCAGTGAGACCTGACTGCAGTGTGTTCTGAGGGTTGTCTCCCTGGATATTCCTGGGGAGAAGATAGGAGCTGCTGTCACATTTGTTAGAGTGTTCAGCCTGCCCTAGACACTGATGCTAGGGAGGGAGAGTCTTGAAAATGAAACCAGATAATAACCCGGGACTCTGAGTAAGAGGAAGGCATGCAGATGAACCCAGATAACTTTCAGAAAGAGCTGGGTCTTTCTGAGTCACATGGTCTCTTGTACATACTCAAGGGAAGACTCACCAAGAACTGTCTCCTCATTGATGATATCTCCTTAGGAGGATCCCGCATCTCCTGGTCCTTGGTAAAATGCTTTCTTCCTAGTTCAAAGTGATGAAGATGCCTCAGGCTGACCACAGCAGTTTTTTCTCCTTACCAATCACAGGAAACTTTATGCACTTTTATTGCCTTCTCTTCAGATGACTGTGATAACTGTAGAGTCCTGTCAAGTTCCAAGATGAAAATGGTTTTTATAATCGATAAAACCAGACAGGGAATCCTGAATCCTGTTAGCAATAAAGACTATGAAAATGCTACTTTTGGTTGGAACACACAAGACAGTGGGGAAGCTGATTGTCATTGGCAGAGTTGGGGGCTGGAATATGTACTTAATTTCCCAAGACCCCAGAATGGACTCTGTCTGGCCTTCAGAGTTGTTCATTTCTGGTGTCAGGGGATGAACATTAGCATTAAGGTGGTCCCTTACTGTGACTCTCATGGGACACTCTTCATAAGTTAAAAAACATAGTCATGGGACAAGTGGCCTTTAGGAAGTCCTACTCAATGTGACTTATGGTGGAGATTCATGGTGTAAAAACTCATAATGAAGACATTTATTTAATGGTTCATTCTGGCAATTTCTAAGCTAAACTTATATTTTATCCAAGCACATCTCATGACACCCATGTTGTCTGGAATCACTTTGGGAAAACGTATTGTCTAAAATACCTCAAAACTACCCCTGCCCCCTGGCCTTATACTGCAACACCTACTAAATAAAGGAAGGAAGGAAATACTCCATGGAAGAAAATACTTTTTAGAAGAGATGACTTATTTGCAAGTAATCTGGAACTCCTGGGTCTTCTTGTGCTTCTATAGAGGACTAGGTTTAAGGGCAGTGGAGGTGATATCCTGCTCAGGATTGAAGTGTGTTTTCTTTGCAGATTTAGTAAAATGAGAGCTATACTGGTTTCATTATTTAGCAGTCAGCATGAGCACTCTGCTGTGGGAGGTAGCTGAGAATTGTCTTTGGTCAAGGCTCAGTCATCACTAGATTTCTTTTTTCATTCCATAGGTTTATATTTTTAGAGCTGACCGAAGATCAGGCACCTTAATTAAGATTTTTCAAGCATCAGGTAAAAAGGTGAGATTCTTGGTCTAAATGTTTCTTGTTTGTTTGAAAGATGTTATCACGTGGGATTCAGTTCTTTCTTTTGAGCAGATTGGTTCACAGGCCTTATCTGTGTCCTACATTTATAGAGCATTTCTACTTCCCTGTGGGGGCCTTTCTCAGCATTATGTGTGACCTGCAGATTCTCCAGATTGATGTTGGTTGGAGGAAACATGCAGCTAGATGAGTTTGTATGTGGCCAAATACTGAAGTTTAAAAAGCTGGCCCATCACCTAGATACCCACTGGAATGAGGGTGTGTTGTGTCTCTCTCTGCCCCTCTGTCTGTCTCCCATACATACACATCTCCACCTCCAGAGACATCAGGCACAGTTGAGTCCAGGTAGCAAATCCACCATCTCTAACTAGCTTCTTCCACAGGAGGGACGTTCCAAGGGGCTCTCACTCTCCTGATCTCATCAACCCAGCGTTGCACCCTCCTCTGCTAACCATGATCCCTTTGCCACCTTTGCTGTGGGGACTGCTGTCACCAACGGAAACCAAACAAAAGTTAACCAGTTCTTTTGGAATCTTTTTTTTTTTAAGATTTATTTATTTGTGCGTACAGAACTGGGGTACAGGCCAGAGATTCAGGGGTGGTGAAAGATTTTACCAGAGACTTCACCAGAGTGGGGAGCAGAACAGTGGGCAGATTGACAAAGTACACTGCTGAGGGGAGCAGCGGGCGGGTCAGGAGAGGTCTGCCGCGCCATATGGTCACCTCCGGGGCAGGCAGGAATCAAACTCATGTGGAAGTGGTTTCAGCTTCTTAGTGCTGTGCTTTAACCCGCTGCGCCACCAGGGAGGGCCTCCTTTTAGAATCTTGATCTAGAAAGATCCCAGGAGAGCTGCCCAGAAATTAACCTTGCTTGTGTCACCTCTTAATCCTCACCCTGGGCCTGACCTGGTTCCTGCAAGTTCCTATGCTCCAGTCTACTTGCACTGCAGTGTAATCAGCAGTTAAGCCAGTCAGAGAATTCTGTGGTTAGTGAGCCTGGGGTCAGCAGTCATGCATACCTTAGTGTGGCTTAGCTCAGAAAGTTGCTTTGCAAGATTGGACTCTCCAAGGGGACACAGATATAGGGTGTGAGGTGAAGGGGGTCATTTGGAGGCTTGTCTTGGAGGAGGCCTTTGTGAGCTCTGGGAAGCAGGGCAAGATGCCTGGGGCTTGCGAGGGAGTCTGGAGGAGAAGGGAGAATGTCAGAAGAGAAGGTGATTTTACCCTCTGCTGCCCTAAGAAAAGGGAGCGGGGATGATTGTTTCTTTTCTGGACAGCCCATGTACCCCAGTCCCTCTGTGAGTTACCTCTGTCCATCAGCCTGGCACCACTGCATTTTGTTTTAATGTTGAATCACATTATGAGTTCCTCAAATCTTACGCACAAGTACGTTTTTGCAATGTTGACAACCTTAATGTGATGTTAACACAAATATATACTTGTCATAATTTTTGCAGTAAAAAACGTACCACCAATCTCAATTTTGTGAAGTTTTCCCCGAGAATAGCTCTGCACTCCCTTCCTGCCACCCCAGGACCATTTGACCTGTGTTATTGTAATATTTCCAAGCCCTAAAGCAATGGCACTGGAAAATGACTGAGTGGTTCTATAAAAAAGGTTTTCCAAGCATCCTTAAAATCAGCAAAGAAATAACTCCATGCTATAAGTGACCAACGGAGTTCCAAAGAGCACGGAGGGTGTTGAATGCTGCTGAGCTGAACATTTCAGATCTTTCTTCAAAAATAACCAACGAGTGTGTTTACTGTGGAAAACCCAAAGCCCCCCTGCTCCCCCTCAAATGTACCCAGGCTTGAAAGGATTCTTCTTTCACCCCCAGCTTTGAGATACCACCGAGGCATAGCAGGAGTGAGTTTAATATGTGCAGTGTGGTGATTCAGTGTATGTATATATTCGCAGCCATCTCCACAACAAGGTTAGTCAGCACATCCGTCACCACACGCTGTTGTCTTAGGGCGTCTCTATGAGCTCCACTGTAGTGGAGCTTGAACACATCAATCACCCTGTTAGGCTGTTTTCCTGTTCAGCTATAGCTATTCCTTCCCAGCTGCCTATACAGCTAAAACCTGTCATCCTGGCATAACTACCAACATCTATCTATGCCCTTTCTCTTCCAAATATGCCCAGGTTTGGAGGATGACTTACTCGGCCACCTCCCTAGGACTGGATTTGCTGACACTGAGTTTTAGGACAGGCAAGCTAGCAGGGCCGGGCTCCCCTGGGGAAGGACAGAAGAGCCTGGGCTTTGCACCACCCAGCTCCATGGCTGTGCTGCTTTTCATGTTCCTTCGGGCTGGGTTTGTTAGGGTCAGTCCTTCACCCTGGCGCTTACTCGTGGGCCTCCTGCCTTCTGTTTGACTGCTCGCTTTACCGTCATCGTCTTTCTGCATTTGAAATAGGACATTACGCTATACATCTTATTCATTTAGCCAGAAGAAATGAGACCTTCTCACCTCAGTAACTTCTCCATTGTTCATAGGGGAAGGGTATGACCCTGGCTTTCAAGAGCTCCTTCAGCTTTACCTCTTGTCTGGAGTCACACACACGGGAAGGTTCTGCCTTAGTAAACCGACAACCCACTTCTGCTAATTTTAGGCCAGAATTCTATCAGATAGTCCTGTCTCCTGGTTTTACCATGACGAAAACAGCAACAAAATGCTTCTGTCCTTTTTAGTTGATGCCTTTCATAGAAACCACCAACGTGTGCAGTTCAGATGTGAACACAGGCACACAACTCTGCATCTCTGGGTTCATGGAATTGCTCTGGTCAAGGCACATTCACCCTAGGACATGGCACTGCCAAATTGAGGTGTTTCCAAGTTCACTGATTATGTGAAACTTTTGTATGTAAAAACGTAGATAGGGAACTTCATGTATATGATTTCTGGTTTAATACTGATTGATGAAGATATCATATTCAATAGCCCACTGGAATGAAACAGATAGTTCCCCTGGGACTCAGCCAGAGAGAACAGCTGGAAGCTTTAGTCTTCATCTCCTTGCTTGGCTCTTATTGGTTTCTTTACTGAAGTCCAGAAAGAGATATTGGCAAGGCCACTGAATGGGTGACTGACAGCTTGGTTTCCGTGCTCTCAGCCTCCAAGATGCTTAAGCTTTCCCATGCCCTTGTCTCTCGGGAATGGGTGATTGGGGCATGGTGGTGGATTGAGTGAAGTGGCCTGGCATGTGACTGGGTAAGGACTTCTGTGTCCTCTTGGCCAGGGGTTAGCTGCAGGAAATAGGCAAGGGTGCCCTTCACTTCTCTCAAACTCCCCTAGAGTAGCTGCCAACAAATTCTGACAGTGGGGGGAAAAAAGCATGCTCATGTCACTTTAAAACCAGTCATTGTAGTTGAAAACCCATATTTTAAAAGTTAAGGGATTTAAATTAAAAAAAATTATTTTAGAGTTTGTAAACTGGCATCCTTTGGAAAATATATAATCTACAGAAACTTTTGTTTGACCTGCAGAGTATGTTTGTTTCTATTTTTAATATGAATTAGCTGCCAGCGCTTCAAAATAGACACTTCAAAAAACTTGTACCTTATTGGTACACCCGGGCAGGTTGCCTTCTCTAGCTCAGCCCCTGTACATAGTAGTGGACTGCAGCTGGGCAGGCTGCCCCTTTCGTGTGGTCTATGGCCTACAGTTTACCGCAGTCTCCACCACTCCCCACTGTTACTTAAAACTGAAGTCAGATGTTCCCTGTCACCTGTCAGTATGTGCAGTGTCCGTTTTTTTTCTGATACCTGTATACCGCCTTGTATCCCAATGGTATTTTAGGTAGATTTTGAGATCCCTGATTTAAAATAACAGGCAATGAGTGAAGCTATGATTAAAGAAGAGTCAGTATAAATCAGGCATGTTCCCTCATTGAGTTGTACCTTTTTCTGTCACTTTAGCTCTTACCTTCCTGGCCAATCTAGCTATGTGCAAGACTGGGAGAGGGTAACCTATTTCCTCTTAGAATGTTTATTTTCATCTTACCTTGTGTTGTGAAATTTCACATTCCTACTTGATTGTCCTTGCCAAATGTCTGATCTACAAGGTAATTTTCTTATGGTTGTAACTTATATTTGCTACCTCAGTTTACATATTGAAAAACAGTACCGGATTCTCCGGGGATCGGTCATTTGTTTTCCCTGTGGTAGGGCTCTAGGAAAGGGGACTCTGAGCCAGTTTGCTTTGGTCAGGGGTTGAGTGGGGTCCTGCTTGGCTGCTAGGAGGCCTAGGGAAGTCAGGTGCTTCACTGCTTGCCTGGGCACTTTACTTATTATGGGGCCGTCACAGCCTCTTAGGGGCTGGGCTGCAAATGTTCCTGAAGCCATGGGCTGGAGGAAGCGAGGGCCTTCTTGAGCGAGGGCAGACACTGAATGCTCTGTTGCGACTCGACTTGGTTGCAGATGGGCTCTTACTTCGGCTCCTCCTTATGCGCAGTTGACCTGAACGCGGACGGCCTCTCAGATCTGCTGGTGGGCGCCCCCATGTTTTCTGAGGTCAGGGATGAGGGGCAGGTCACCGTCTATATCAACCGAGGAAACGTGAGTACAGTACTGGGTACAGTGAATGGGGTGTGGGAGAGGGATCTGGCAAGTAGTGGCTGAGCACCCCCCTCCACTCCCCTGTCGAATACTGGGCACCACTTGCCTGTGGAGGGGAAAAAGCCTACCTTAAAAAAGTGAAATATTCCATTCCTGGCAAGTTTTATGCAGTGTTAACTGTGTGCAAGAGCAATGTTAACAGTCTTCCTGTAGTGCTTACTATTGACATATATTTACCATGTGTACAGGAACTGTTTTTCCTTATTCCAGAAGTGATTTCAGTGTGATGTGCACATGGTACCAAGGGTTCCCATATCTCAGGTGGGAAAACTGAGTCCCAGGGAGCCACGACTATCTCTGCCAAGATTGCTGGTACATGCACCTTCAAATGAGCTTTGTCAAGCACAGGCAAGAAGAAATAGAAATATGTCTTGTTAAAACTATTTTAGGGGGCAATATGCTGGGAGTATGATAAAGCAGGATGGTCACAAATGGGGAAAGTACAGGCTCTCTAAATGATGCTGGGGAAGCCAGAAAGTCCTACATAAAAGAGTGAAGTTGGATTGCTTGCTAACCCCATACACAAAAATAAACTCCAAATGGACTAAAGGTTATCTGCAAGACCTACCATAATAAAATACATAGTGCAAAGTATTGAATTATGTGTGGCACAGTGAGTCTGATACAGACAAGTACTGGAGGCCTGCACAGCAGACAGTTTGGTGCTACAGAACACTTTCAAAAAGAAGTGGCCATCATGAACATATTGAGTGGTCTGAGGTTAACAGGGAGGCAGGAAGAAGAGGGGCAAGGGATACAAAGAAGGGTGGTGGAGAAAAAATAAAGTATAAACCACCACTTGCAAAATCGAATTAAAAAAAAAAGAGGCAGTCACGTCCCACTCTGTTGTCACTGAAATCCAAGCACCTGTAATTGTTTGGTTTTGTATGTGACTTACATGAACATTATTGACCCAGAGGAAGTTTTCCTTTATGTTGCTCTTTTCCTCCCAAATGTTCTTATGATTGCCCTTCAAAAGTAGCTAATTGATGTGACCATCTGTGCAATTTATAGTCATGGACTGGTTTTTTTTCTTACATTAGCCATGGAGTGTTGATGATTCTATTGTAAAGAGTATTTTTCTGTGGTTAGGTATTTAGTCTTTGTTGATATAGAAGTAAATAGTTCCCATCCCAGTGAAGCAGTCTGCCGTTCTTGTATGGCTTGCAACAAACAGAGAAAGGGAAACCTGGGCAGCTACCACGGGACAGGTAGGTAGGTGGGTGGGTTTCTACACTGTCAGGAGAAGGCAGGCTTCGTCTCTGCTGAGTGAGGTTCTCCTCTCGCCTTTAAGGCTGTGCAGGCTGTTGGGCCTCTTGCTGAACAGGTGGGAAGGAGCCCTCCTGCCACCAGGAGAGAAGTTTCGGTGCCTGTGATTCTGCCCAGGTGTTTCCTGTCGCTGGGCCTGCTCAGGGGCGGCATTCTGAGCACTGGTTTTTTATTGTTTTTTTTTTACTTTGTTCTGCTTGTTTTTGTTTTGTTTTCCACTCTTCCTTCATCCTGTTTCCCAGGGAGCCCTGGAGGAGCAGCTGGTGCTGGCTGGGGATGGAGCCTACAATGCACACTTCGGGGAGAGCATCGCCAGCCTGGGCGATCTCGACGACGATGGCTTCCCAGGTCAGCGAGCTTGCTGCTGTCCCCCTTTGGAAAAAATTGTTTTTTGCTGCAGTAGCACTGGTTTACAGTCTGTGTGTGTACAGCTATGGGTTGCCACATGATGCCCATGCCCACGCAAACTCTCTGTGCGGCCCACTGCCTGCCTCACTTAGGGTTGGCTGCCTGCCCTCCAGCTCTGTGCTCCTGGATCTCCCACCTGCTCCAAGGGCCCACCATGTGCTCTGGGAAGAGAGGTCACTATTCGAAAAAATGTCCATGTAGACTCTTGGGACTAAGCTCTGAGCCCACTGGAGTTTTTGCATTTGTGTAGCCCCTTCTCATCAGCTCAGTGTTCTTTGCTGTGTGTGTGTGATGTAAGTGAATGTTAGGATGGGGCCCCTGGACTTCTTACAGCAGAGAACCTGATGATTCTACCATGGACCTTGGGTTGGGGCCTCTGATGTTCCACTATGTTGTGAGCAAAGCGAGGGAGGAGAGAACGTGACATTTCTTCTCTCCCCCGAGAGCGACAGGATTGCCGTCTCCTGCTGTTTACTCAGCATGTCCTTCTTGGCTCTGGCCTCTCCCTCTGGTCCCTTTGAGGGACCAGAGGTCCCTCTGTTCATGGTACACATGTATACACCATCGGCACCCATGGGGGCCCTGCCCAAGATGGACTGGGGTGGCTCTTGCCTCAGGCTAGACATCCAGGCCCCTTTGACTAGGCCACTGGCTAGAGTGAGCTTGTTGGGCACATGGCTCTTTCCCCTTGACCTCACTTCTGCAGACGCATGACTTTTGTTTTGTTAGAAGAAAAGGAAAGAAAGGAAGATGTAAGTTTAGTTCCTGGGAATACTGTTGATGTGTGTGTGTGTGTGT